ATAGGCAGTCCGAGCAAGTATTAATTCAAGTGGGCAGTTCTGGCAAGGATAATAGATTCAATGGGGCAGTCCAGACAGGGAAAGTATAGTTGCATTCAGTGGGACAGTCCAGACAGGAATAGCTTTCCAGGGACAAACAGCGGTCAGCAGGCAGGGGTAGCTTCCCAGGGACACAGCGGTCAGCAGACAGGGATCGCTTTCCAGGGACAAACAGCAATCAGCGGACACTCAGCGGGGTCTGGGCTGTGGGGTCTGGCCTCAGCTCAGACCTCCAAACAGCGGCCAGCAGACAGGAACAGCTTTCCAGGGACAAACAGCGATCAGAGGACGCTCAGCGGGGTCTGGGCTGTGGGGTCTGGCCTCAGCTCAGACCTCCAAACAGCGGCAGCGGACAGCAGGCAGGAGTATCCTTGGCACACAGCGGACAGCAGGTAGGAGTACCCTCAGGCACACAGTAAACAGCGGGCAGGAGTAACCTCTGGCACACAGCGAACAGCAGGCAGGAGTACCCTCGGGCACACAGCGAACAGCAGGCAGGAGTAACCTCTGGCATACAGCGAACAGCAGGCAGGAGTAACCTCAGGCACACAGTGAACAGCAGGCAGGAGTACCCACTAGCACACAGAGAACAGCAGGCAAGAGTAACCTCTGGCACACAGCGAACAGCAGGCAGGAGTACCCTCTGGTACACAGCGAACAGCAGGCAGAAGTACCCTTTGGTACACAGCGAACAGCAGGCAGGAGTACCCTTTGGTACACAGCGAACAGCAGGCAGGAGTACTCTTTGGCACACAGCGGATAGCAGGCTGGAGTACTCATTGGCACACAGCGGATAGCAAGCAGGAGTATTCTTTGGCACACAGTGGATAGCAGGCAGGAGTACCCTTGGCACACAGCAGACAGCAGGCACCTCTAGCCCCCCAGGGATCAGCAGAGCACTCAGCGGGGTCTGGGCTGTGGGGGTCTGCCCCTAGCTCAGACCCCACACACAGCGGTTTCTCAAGAGAAGAGGACCAACCACGGGCTGGGTCCTGCTCCGGTCTTCTGATGCTGGAGCAGGACGCTTCCTGGTTGCCCCGGCAATGGCCGGCCAACTGTCGGGTTGCCGGGGCAATGAGGCACACCCCCCCACTCTGGCTGCCTTTGTCTCCGGCGGGCACAGAGCGTGGGAAGCCTCGTGCCTGCGCTGCACCTGCCAGGGGGGCGCAGAGACACCTGACCATACATAAATTCTATACTCACAGCATGTATGGTACTGTATGTAGCATTGACTACCTGTAATATAGAGAGAAGGTGTATTTTCTGCATATTTTATCTGATGTACTGTACATAAGAACACCATATCCAATAAAGTGCAGAATTTTCCCAGTCTTAAAAAATTCTCCCTCCACATGAAATCCACTACAGCACCAGAAACATAGGACAGTATAGATCAGTGATGGCGAACCTATGGCACGCGTGCCAGAGCTGGCACGCAGAGCCATCTCAGTGGGCACGCCAGGAAGAAGAGGATGATGAGCGCGCATGGACCGGCCATCCAGATCTCGTCCACACTGGATCCCCATCAAACTACATTTCCCACATGTCTCTGGGGCCAGGGTGGGCGTGGACGAGAGGAAACGGCTCCAATGCGGCTCTGGCACCAGGGGTGATGTACCCGGGGATGGGCGCGGAAGAGAGGAAGAGGCTCCCACACTGCTCCCACACTGCTCCGGGGCCAGGGGCAACGTGTTCAGCGTGGATGGGAATGAGCTGCTGGGCTGGTAGCCACACCGACGCTGCCAGAGGTGAGATTGCTTGCAGTGTCATCTATCAGTGCCCAGCAGTGTCGCCTGTCAGTGCCCAGCAGTGTCGCCCATCAGTGCTGCACATCAGTGCCATCCATCAATGATGCCCAGCAGTCCCATCCATCAGTGCCCAGCAGCGTCGCCTGTCAGTGCTGCCCAGCAGTGCCACCTGTCAGTGCTGCCCAGCAGTGCCACATGTCAGTGCCCAGCAATATCGCCCATCAGTGCTGCCCATCAGTGCCACCCATCAATGATGCCCAGCAGTGCCATCCATCAGTGCCCAGCAGTGTCACCCATCATCAGTGCCCAGCAGTGTCGTCCTGTCAGTGCTGCTCAGCAGTGCCACCTGTCAGTGCTGCCCAGCAGTGCCACCTGTCAGTGCCCAGCAGTGTCGCCCATCAGTGCTGCCCATCAGTGCCACCCATCAATGATGCCCAGCAGTGTCATCCAGCAGTGCCCAGCAGTGTCACCCATCAGTGCCCAGCAGTGTGTCGCCTGTCAGCGCTGCCCAGCAGTGCCACCTGTCAGTGCTGCCCAGCAGTGCCACCTGTCAGTGCCCAGCAGTGTCGCCCATCAGTGCTGCCCCCTTAGTGCCACCCATCAATGATGCCCCCCCAGCAGACTGTCGTTCATTCCATTCAGTGCCCAGCAGTGTCACCTCCATACAGTGCCCCTAGCAGATGTCGCCTGTCAGCGCTGCCCAGCAGTGCCACCTGTCAGTGCTGCCCAGCAGTGCCCACCTGTCAGTGCCCAGCAGTGTCTGCCCATGCACCTGTCAGTGCCCAGCCCCATCAGTGCCCCATCAGTGCCACCCATCAATGATGCCCAGCAGTGCCACCGATCAGTGCCGTCTGTCAATGCGTCCAGGTAGGCAAGTGGTTAATTGCAGTGTTGGCACTTTGAAATAAAAAAGTTGGTTTGTGTTGCAGTTTTGGGCACTCGGGCTCAAAAAGGTTCGCCATCACTGGTATAGATGGTATGTATTATTTCACTTGTATCATTTTTTTTAAACCTCATGAATTATAGGGTTTCCTTATCTGAAGAAAAATCAATTGCTACATGTATTGTTACACTTATGATATTTCTTTCAAATGTTACCTTTCCATCCCTGATCCCTTGCTGTGATTTCACAAAGGTAATTGGTACCATCATTATATAAACACAGTTGCATAGCTAGTAGAGAACATCCACAAGAACTGCTTGCTGCTGGACAGATTTATACAAGGTATTCGTCAGGACATAACTCAACCAGAAGTGGGCATTCTCTAATTCAGTCATTCTCAACCAGACCTGACTACTCTCTGCATGCTCCCCCTGTACCTACCTGCCCGATTGTTATTGACCCCCGGCCTGCCTGGCTACGCTTGCATTGTATGTATTGTTATCTGTGGGTGGTTTGGTTCGTTTGCACTGTGTTATGTTTTAGTATTGCACTGCGTTTATGTATTGTTAGTATTAATAAATTATATTGTTTATAACATATTTGAAGCCTGCGTCAGTTCACATTCACATCCTCTGGTCATACCGGGAGCCCTGACATTACACCAAGGCCAATCCTGACCAGAAGTGGCTGCACAGGGAAGCCATCTTGGCTTGTTGCTGGGAAGGATGGATCTTGATGAGGTTGTATATTTGTCGCTGCTGGTTTTTGATGACAGAGAATATGCTTATCAGACTCTGAGGGAGTATACCCGGGATCAACTGCTAGAATGTATACGGCTCGCTCATGTTCTAGTCGATCAGGGCACAGAATTCTCTGAGGTGCAACCTTTGATTCAGGTTTGTGTAGAGTTGGCTTCATCTGGTACCCCTGAAAGCAGGAATGACTTTTTGCCACCATTTAGTGCAGACCAGGTACTGGTATGGTTATTAGAGGATGATGTGGATTGCTTCTTGGAGCATTATGCTGCATGTTCACCACAGGTATTAAGGGATTGTATAAACGCAGTGCAGTCTTTGACCAGACAGGCTTTGTGTAAGCTCAGCTTTGTTCAACCCATACTGCAGACATGGTCAGACTTGTTGCACCCAGCCTCAGTCAGCTTACAACGTCATTCCTCCGCTCAAGGCACTCTTCCTGCATCCCCGACAGCACCCCCAGTGACTGCCTAGTATACTCTGCTAACTACCACATATCAGTCCTCTGCTCCCACTCGCTGCACTACACCTATCCTTTCTTTAACCCTGTAAAGAAGTCCTCTGTAGCAACTGCTCCCTCTCCTGTTCCATCTTCCAGCTCTTCTCTGTCTCCAGCTGCTCCATTCGTTTGCAGACCTGCGTTTACTTGCAGTGCTCCAGTAGTTAAAACCAGAAAAAAGCGAAAATTCTTTCCAACCAATACCATCCGGCCAGTATCCAAACCGGTGAGCCTGCCGTCTGAGAACCTGCCTTCCGTGGTTCAGCCTGGTGCCTCGGCACCCGCACTTCAGACTGATGTCTCTACCCAGCCTGATGTCTGTACCCAGCCTGATGAACTGATCCAGCCTGATGATCCTATCACCTGATGATCCTATATAAATTTTAGAGTTAGGACCACAGATGATCAGGGAGCCGTGTCGTGGCTCTGTGGCTTACGTATGTATTTGCAAATGTGTGCTAACTAAACCCCTGTTATAAACGCATACTGTTAGACAGGTTAATTCGGTTGTTAGCAAGCTGGCTGGCAAGTTGTCCAAGAACATTGTTCTCTCCCCCTTTTTTTCACTATGTGATGCCCCTGTTTATGTGTCCTTGCTTCATAAGCCAGTTATAGACTTGGGCGGGTGGCCACTTTTATGCATGTTTGAGTTTTTGGTACGTGGGTGCACTAGGGCCCTGGTTGCCATTGTGCTACATGCTGGGCCAGTGCACTCCTTTGCCTTTAAGAGGGGTGTGCTCCCTCAGGTCCACCTGCCCTTGATCTATCCATTAAATGCATGTGCCTCTACTATGGGGACTCATAAATTTTAGAGTTAGGACCACAGATGATCAGGGTGCCGTGTCGTGGCTCTGTGGCTTACGTATGTATTTGCAAATGCGTGTGCTAACTAAACCCCTGTTATAAAACGCATACTGTTAGACAGGTTAATTCGGTTGTTAGCAAAATGGCTGGCAAGTTGTCCAAGAACATTGTTCTCTCCCCCTTTTTTTCACTATGTGATGCCTGTTTATGTGTCCTTGCTTCATAAGCCAGTTATAGACTTGGGCGGGTGGCCACTTTTATGCATGATGATCCTATCACGCCTGATGACCCAGTGCCCGCTGTCTTACCTGGTGACCCCCGCCGCCCGCTGTCGAGCCAGATGATCCCAGCGCCAGATGACCCGGTGCCTGCTGTTGAGCCAGACGATCCGGTACCTGATGACCTGGTGCCCGCTGTCGTGCCAATTGACTCAGAGCCCACTGTCGTGCCTGGTGACTCGGTGCTCACTGCCTTGCCAAATGACGCGGTGCCCCGCTGTCGAGCCAAATGACCTGATGCCTGGGGACCCAATGCCCGCTGTCGAGCCAGATGATCCAACGCCAGATGACCCGGTGCCCGCTGTCGATCCAGATGATCCGGTACCTGATGACCCGGTGCCCGCTGTCATGCCTGGTGACCCGATGCCCGCTGTCGAGCCAGACGATCCAATGCCTGATGACCCAGTGCCCGCTGTCATGCCTGGTGACCCGATGTCTGCTGTCGAGCCAGACGATCCAGCGCCAGATGACCCGGTGCCTGCTGTCGAGCCAGACGATCCGGTACCTGATGACCCGGTGCCTGCTGTCGTGCCAGTTGACTCAGAGCCCACTGTCGTGCCTGGTGACTCGGTGCCCACTGCCTTGCCAGATGACGCGGTGCCCGCTGTCGAGCCAAATGACCTGGTGCCTGGTGGCTCGGTGCCCACTCCTGCCTTGCCAGATGACGCGGTGCCCGCTGTCGAGCCAAATGACCTGATGCCTGGTGACCCGATGCCCGCTGTCGAGCCAGATGATCCAATGTCTGACCCAGTGCCCGCGGGTCATGCCAGTTGACTCAGAACCCGCTGTCGTGCCTGATGACCCGGTGCCCGCCGCTCCGCCTGGGGGCCCGGCGCCCGTCGCCCCTCCTGGGGGCCCGCCGCTCCGCCTGGGGGCCCGGAGCCCGCCGCCCCTCCTGGGGACCCGGCGCCCGCCGCTTACCGCCTGGGGGCCTGGCGCCCGCCGCTCCGCCCGGGGACCCGGTGCCTGCCGCTCCGCCCGGGGGGTACCGGTGGCCGCTGCCCCTTTTGGGGGGCCTGGTGCCCGCCGCTCCACCTGGGGGCCCGGCGCCCGCCGCTCCTCCTGGGAGCCCGATGCCTGCCGCTCCGCCCGGGGGCCCGCCGCCCCTCCTGGGGGCCCAGCGCCCGCCGCTCCGCCTGGGGGCCCGCCGCCCCTCCTGGGGGCCCGGCGCCCTCCGCTCCGCCTGGGGGCCCGGCGCCTGCAGCCCCTCCTGGGGGCTCGGCGCCCGCCACTCCCGCCTGGGGGCCCGGCGCCTGCAGCCCCTCCTGGGGGCCCGGCGCCCGCCACTACTCCGCCTGGGGGCCCGGCGCCCGCCGCTCCGCCTGGGGGCTCGGCGCCCGCCGCTCCGCCTGGGGGCCCGGCGCCCGCTGCTCCGCCTGGGAGCCCGACGCCTGCCGCTCCGCCCGGGGGCCCGGTGGCCGCCCGCCCCTCCTGGGGGCCTGGTGCCCGCTGCTCCGCCTGAGGGCCCGGCACCCGCCGCCCCTCCTGGGGGCCCAGGGCCCGGCGCCCGCCGCCCCTCCTGGGGGCCCGGCGCCCGCCACTCCGCCTGGGGGCCCGGCGCCCGCCGCTCCGCCCTGGGACCCGGTGCCTGCCGCTCCGCCCGGGGGCCCGGTGGCCGCCGCCCCTCTTGGCAGCCTGTTAAGGAGTAGGAAGCCAAGCAGTTTTTTTTTTTTAATTGCTGGCAATTGCTTTGTGTACATTGAGCTGTCATGACTCATCGGTTGTTAAGGATGCGGCAGTCGCCCGCTCCTTAAGGACCATGTTGTTTTACTGGTTGTTAAGTATGCTGGTGACTGCCCACTACTTAACAGCCAGCTGAAGTTACACAAAAGCACAAAATGCATATAAAAATGATTCAAACACAGGTGTGAAAAAATGCAAAATGCATCAGCCACAGTCTGCATAGATCTGGACCTAGCCTTATTGTGCCATGCTGACAGTAGTGATCAGCAGCTTCTTTTTGGATGGGTGTATAGTGTATCATATTCCAATGTACACATGTAATGATCTCATGATCTCAATGATTCTGGTTTTGGCCTGAATGCACTGACTAATCAGTTTGATTAACAGATCTCCAGGTCACTAAGAGTTCCTTTTGGCTCTACTGATGATTGGCTGAAAGACATAGTGAGATCAGCATTGTTACTCCCATCAAGTCATGCCAGTGTATTTTCAACAATTGCCTTTTTGTTATCTATAGTTTAAAACAACTGTCTGTTTGCTGCCCAAGTACTGTACCATACACTTGTTTGTAGTCCAGTGTGCTGCTATTAACCCCTTCAAGTCACCATTGTCCAACACGAACCCAATTATTGACCCCACTACATATTGTAAAGATTTCCGCTTGTTAAACATATAATACAAAAAAGTGCAGCGCTACCTCAGTTTTCCAATATGTGTGAATCCACTTCTGGGAAAGACCCTGAACCCATGTGCTCTCAGAACATAAATACCACTCCCAGCATGCAATAGGACTGCCTTCCCCTGCAATTGGCCAGGGATGTATCCATATTCATACTGTTCATTGCCTAACCCTTTGTTCTGGAAGGTTCTCATAGCTTCCTGAAGGTGGGCAGAACTCAGAGTTTAGCAAACTGAGTGAAAATATATGTGCAAGTAGCACTGCGCTACTATGATAAATATAATCTTGCAATGTATTAGACTGGGATTTTACCAGGAGGCTTGCTGCTAAACAATGATGTGTGTCCCCACACCCACTGAACCAAATAATACAAAAACGTGTAGTGCTACAAATAATACAAAAACGTGTAGTGCTACCTATATTTTCCAATATGTGTGAATAGTGGTGGAAACCTCCTGGTTTTGAGTACCTCCTTTACTGATATGTGAATAGTGATTATTTTGCAGCATAAAAACACAATCACAGGTTGTATGATATAGGAATTTATTTTAAGGGTTTTTTTTTCGTTATTCATTTTTCATATATTTGTGGTTCAATATATCATTTGAAATAGGAGTGCTAAGCTGATATTCAGAATAGGAGGTTTCCCCCATTATTCATATATCAGTAAAGACAGTACTCCACTATTCCCCACTATTCACACATATTGGAAAACTGAGGTAGCGCTGCACTTTTTTGTATTATATGTTTAACAAGCGGAAATCTTTACAATATGTAGTGGGGTCAAAAATTGGGTTCGTGTTGGACAATGGTGACTTGAAGGGGTTAATAGCAGCACACTGGACTACAAACAAGTGTATGGTACAGTACTTGGGCAGCAAACAGACAGTTGTTTTAAACTATAGATAACAAAAAGGCAATTGTTGAAATACACTGGCATGACTTGATGGGAGTAACAATGCTGATCTCACTATGTCTTTCAGCCTATCATCAGTAGAGCCAAAAGGAACTCTTAGTGACCTGGAGATCTGTTAATCAAACTGATTAGTCAGTGCATTCAGGCCAAAACCAGAATCATTGAGATCATGAGATCATTACATGTGTACATTGGAATATGATACACTATACACCCATCCAAAAAGAGGCTGCTGATCACTACTGTCAGCATGGCACAATAAGGCTAGGTCCACATCTATGCAGACTGTGGCTGATGCATTTTGCATTTTTTCACACCTGTGTTTGAATCATTTTTATATGCATTTTGTGCTTTTGTGTAACTTCAGCTGGCTGTTAAGTAGTGGGCAGTCACCAGCATACTTAACAACCAGTAAACAACATGGTCCTTAAGGAGCGGGCGACTGCCGCATCCTTAACAACCGATGAGTCATGACAGCTCAATGTACACAAAGCAATTGCCAGCAATTAAAAATTCAGGAAAAAAACTGCTTGGCTTCCTACTCCTTAACAACCAGTTTAAAGCCACACAAAATGCAACATGCATAAAAAAACGGATCAAAAACACAACACTTGCATTTTTGGTACCATTCCAGAGAAGTCTTTTACTGCAAAACGCAATCTGCTGTGGAAAAAAAAGTCCCTAACCCTTTAAAAAGGGTGCTCAAAATGCACAGATGTGAAATAGATCCATAGGAAATCATGGACTGTAGTGCGTTTCTGCAAACCGGAAAACGCAGTGAACCTGAAGTGCGAGCCTAAGGTCAAACTGCAGGGGCGGACTGACAACTCATGGGGCCCCCGGGCAATAGGGGATCATGGGGCTCCTGTGTCCTTGCCCAAACTATAAAAAGTCTATGAAAAAGGTACCAGGGGCATCTCATGGGGCCCCCTACTGATCCCGGGCCCTCGAGCAGTGCCCGAGTTTCCAAATGGTCAGTCCGCCCCTGGGACAAAGTGACTACTTGCAGAAAGTTCACTGGCTCTTGGGGTACAAACAGCATATTGAGCAGAAATCCTCTAGTGTAGCAACCCTAAACATTATTTTTTTTTCAATTTGGCACTACAAGGAGCTGGATTATTGTGAGGCTTCCACATACCAAGGATTACACTTTATTTCCACATCATGCAAAAATCACCTTCATAAAGGATTCCCTATGTCTGCATGGATTAGATGTAATACCATTTTTGGCATTGTATCTAATCCACAAATCATTCAGATCCAGCTACAAACTCTTCTCTAAAGGTGTATTTTTTTGTCAGTGTGATGATGATGTGATTTTTCTAATATATAAAAATGATTTCCAAATGTGAAATGTATTTTATTCGCATGACAGAGAACCTAAGATTAAAGTAATATTAAAGTTCCGGCTTTAAAAAAACAACAAACAAACAAGCATGTCATACTTACTTGCTCTGTTCAGTGATTTTGCACAGAGCAGCCCAGATGCACTGCTTCACAGGTCCCCTGCTGGTGCTCCTGGTTCCTCCACCTTGACCAGTCCCCCCCAATAGCAATCCTCTTGCTATGGGGGCACTGGTGCTTGCTCACTCTTGAGTGCTGCCCTATGCATCTATAAGACACATGGAGCTGTGATTGACAGCAGTAGGAGCCAATGACATTCTCAGCCAATGAGGAGAAGGATTCCCAGGACAAGCAGGGCTAACTTACATTTGTGGATCGAGAGGGTGCACAGGTGAGTATTAGGGGGGCTGTGGGAGGAGCAGCACATGGAAGGTTTTTTACCTTCATTCATAGAATGCATGAAGATAAAAAAACCTTTAGCCTTTACAACCACTTTAAATAAAAACTCAGGCATGCAGGTAAATACATTGTTATAATACATATACAATGTATGAACAGTTTTAACTGCCAAAACATGTATTCAAAAAATGTAATTTAACCATGTTTGCATTTTACATAATTACGCAAACATGTAGTCACCTTCTTTACTTTATAAATTATCAGGAAAAATTGGTGACAAAAGTTATGTCTAGGTATGTTATTTTGCCTGGCAGAGGATTACAGGAAGTTACACATGTAGGGATCTGCTGCCCTCTGTATTTGTAAACAGACGTTGCATGTAATTTACCGCAGAGTTAGTTGGTTGTAGACAGGTACATCCTGTCCCTGCTAGCTTGGTCAAAAACCCCAGAGGAAGGAAAAATAAAGAGGGAGAAGCTGGGACACATGTCCTACTATGGAGGAGCTGCCACTCATCCAGTCCAGAAGCAGGGATTATAAGGCAAGTATCCCTATATTTAACAGTTTACTATTGTTGCCCATAGCTCCTGGGTGTATGAATGTACAGTAAATATTTAAAGATTAGTGACATAAGTATATCTGTCACCTTGTTGTTATCTCACATGCACTATACCAGTTAGTTTGGTCTGTGATACAGTGTGTGTGTGTGTGTGTGTGTGTGTGTGTGTGTGTGGTCATCTTGCTGTATGTTAGTAGCTGAACCTATTTATTGCTATAGAGATTATATGCAA